GTTATCGGTAGATGGTGGTTTACCCGGGTCCTTCAGCCAAAGGAATTTGGCAACTTCCCGATCTTCTTCGTGTAGGCCCACCATAAGGAATGCTGCCTCCAAGTCAGCAATAGCCACAAATTTTGGTAGGCGAAATCTGAGCAACAACCCTACTAGTTCTGGTAGGAGCACAGGGCCACGGAGGAGGCAATCATTTAATGAAGGTTGCCCTCTCGGATGTGCACTTGCGTCGAATACTGGTCTCACCTTATGAGTAATAACTGCATGGTGAGCCAAATAATGTTCCTGTCCGGCTGGATTCTTTCGCGCTGGTTCGATTATCCCTCTTCGAAGATAATCAATAATGATTTGATGATATTTGTCTAAAAGGTCCTTTGATCGTGCAAGCGAACTGTAAGTCGAACAAAGTCGACTATAGACCATTCTGTAGTTGCTCGGTGGTGTTATCTTTGGCTCACGCCAGATCCAGCTTACCGTGTAACGCCCTTCGTTATCTCGGGCAATCGAGGACTCTAGCTGTCTAACAGCGATTTGATCATCGTCAGCTCCGGGATCCTCTGTAATCCCTATCCCCTCCAAATTCCAGAATTCTTCTATAATATTGGAAGGAGGCATTTGGTCGATATTAGACTTACCGATCGCTATCATAGCGTGTGAAGGTCGTCCTCCATATGGACTCATATCAGACTCCCCTCCAACTACTGGACCAAAGGCAGTCTGAATGACATAAATTCCTGGAGCGACTTCAGTTCTCTCCTTGAAAAACTTCCAAAAGTGTCGCGTTCCCAGCATAATTCCTGGGACTTCTGATGATATCTTGAGTGCTTGCTGGACTTCTGGGTGATCTAAATCTCGAATGGGCATTTCTGTCGTCCATTGAACCATCTCGAAAGGAGTACTTATCTCCTTGGTCCAATTGAGTTCGAGCTCTTCCCAACCACCGTCCTCTCTTCTGATTGAGACGGCATATGTTGGTGAGCGGATTCTGATTGGATCTCTCATCGTTCCGCCAAACCCGTGTACTTCGACGTCGTCGATTGATATTTGAGGTGGACGAATTTTGTCCACTAAATCCTTGGTGATGTAACTTAGCTGACTGCCTGGGTCGAAGAACACATATGCCAGTGTTCGGCTCTTCTTGTCTTTTGGCGATTCTATTGCTAATTTTCGTGTCATTAGGTACGCTGATAACTTTTTTCGTAAGTGAGGAAATGCCATGGCTGTAACTGTTTTAGTTAGATCACTCTCCGAGTCGGGAGAATTCTCTTGTGTTAAATTAGCTCCAGTCAACGGAGTCTCAATCGTGGTTGTCATTTGGGTAAACTGCCTATTCGGCGCAGTCCCCTTCTTGCTTGTCTTGTTAAGTCGTGTATGGTTCCTCGTTGTTGATGTGGTACAGACGAGAAAATTATGTTTGCCCTGACAGATTCGGCATAACATAGGAAGGTGGCATTCCTTAAATGAATGGCCCTCGCGCAGACACCTTATACAACGGTGCTGCTCCTTTAACCGGTTGAAACGCGATTGTGGCGTCGGAAATCTTGGACATTTGCTTGGGAAGTGTGCTCCTTGATGACAAAGCGAGCATTCTCTTTGGCCAAACCTCCCAAACGGTCTATTCTTGTGCACGTGAGCCGGAGCAAAAAATGTACGCGATTGCTCCTGTACTCCTTGTCGTGGTTGGTAATTTCCTCTTCTAGAGGAAATGTGATTCTCAGTCGTCTCAGTTCTTGTTTTGGGCGATTGTGAGGTTGTACATCGCTGAACCTCTTCCTTAATTTCAACAATTTTAATAAGCTCTTGTCTGAGCTGAGCACAATTCCAACGAGTATCTGCTCCTCGCTCCTTCTCAACTAATTTTGAGACAATAGAGCGGGGCAACTTGGACTTGATGGCTGTCGATATAAATGGAGATTGATCGACAATATTGAAAGCTTCCAGCTGACGACAAATTCGTTCAATCGAATCCACAAAGGATCGAATTGAATGGCAGGACTCGTTTGGCGGACTCAAATTCATGAGCTCCGACTCTAATGCTTCAGTGATGGCTCGATTATCGCCATATCGTGATTTGAGCAAATCTAGTGCTCTCGTATAATTCTCGTTGGATAGGATGAATCCCGCAACTAAATCTTTAGCGGGGCCTTGGAGGAGAGTGAGTAAATAACTCATCTTCCTAACATTGTCCATTTGGCGTTGGTCGATGTTGATTGAAAATAATTGCCAGAAAGCTGGCCATTTCTTCGGATCGCCATTAAATGGCTCCATTTTGAGCTCTGGTAAACGTGTGTCTGGTAATATTGGAGTATCCTTGACCTTGTTTTCTCCAATACTTTGTTCTTCTTGAGTTCGACTTTGAATGCGTTGTGACTCTCGTGTTCGTTCACTACGCTCACTAACCTCTGTAATTCTTTCCTCCATTTCCAAAAGGAGGAAGTCTAGCTCGCCTATAATTCCTCGGGCCTGTTCTGCGAAGTCCATGAAATGGACCCACACTTGTCCTTCCTGTACATTAGGAGGAAACGTGTTGTACAGCTGCTCCTCAGCTTCCAAATCTCCTCCATCCAGGAGATCAATAAATCCTGTCCACTCGTGATCGAGAGTTTCTATATATATAGGGCCTGGATGACCATTTAGCCCTATAATTCTGGCTAAAAGCCATGCATTTCTTGGTCGCATGATGTCTTCTACTAACACTACTTCTCCCAATTTAGGAGTTGAATGTGTCTGAAGTCTTGGGCCAGAGTGCTCCCATTTAGAGCGATCACGCAGAATAACCAGATATTCTCTCTTCCACCGTTCCCAGAAGGAATCAAGATTTTCTAAAGTGCTCTTCCACAATGTAAGGAGCTGGTCGTGAGGGAGAACATGTTTGTCCCTTTTGATTTTCTTGAACGTGAGGTCATAACTGAGTGTAGCTCCAGGTTGGATGAAATCCACCGGGCGTAAAGGAAGAGGAGCTCCTTCCTCATCTGATGTGTGAGTTAAAGGTCTTGAATTTAGAGCGGCTTCAACCTCAGCCGTGAATGTTGCGAGTTGATCATATGGGAGTACTTGTCTTCCCATCGTCCTTTTAAAACAAGTTTTTGCCATGCCTATGAGCCTCTCATAAATTCCGCCTGCCCAAGGAGAGAGAGCTGGAATAAATTTCCACTCGATTTTGTTCTCTGCTAAGTGGGAGACGAGAGCAGCGCTCAAGGCTTTCTCTGCTAAAACAAAATTACGTCCATTGTCACTAAGTACGCGATCTGGACGTCCACGCCGGCTGATGAAACGGCGAAAAACATTAAGAAACGAGGCGGCTGTTAAATCCAGCGTAGGCGCAATATAAACTGCTCCTGTCGTGAGGCAAGTAATCAAAACTAGCCAACACTTTACGAGGGAGCCTTGAACTTTTGTGAGTGTCGGACCAGCATAATCCACTCCAATTGACTGGAATGGCAATCTTTGCTGGACTCTATCTGCTGGAAGTGGTGGCATTGTTGGTAAAGCATATTTGTAGGAGTTCATCCTCCTACAAGCCATACATTCTGATATAACTTTACGGATAGCTTGACGAGCTCGTGGCTGCCAATAATTGTTCAAGAACTCTGTAAGAGTCCAATCTACACCTCCGTGACATAACCGTGTGTGGATGTCTCTCATGATCGATTTCCCAACATCTGAATGTTTTGGGAGTAAGACTGGGTGAATCAAACCCTCTGGGCCCTGACTATTTGTCAGGCGAGTTTGAAGACGCATGATCTTATTATTGTCGATTATGTGGCGGTATTTACTGAGTTCCTCGCCACACTCTTTCTGCTCCCATCTTATTAAATATTCCTCGGAAATTTCGTAATCGCGTGTCGTGGGGACTCCATTTAAAGAAATGGAATCCAATCTGATGGATTGTGCTCTCTCCTTCCCGAGCACTATTTTGATAAACCGAAGGATGTATAACATAACCCGCCTCGCTTTACCCCAGGAACTCACGCGCTTCAATAGTTGATGAGTTCCATGAGGGGTCTCTGTAGCCGCAAGGCATATTTGTGTATTAAAGGGATCTTCTTCAGATTCCTCAAATTTATTGAGGTCGTGGTTCGTGAACGATTGGAATGTGATATCCTCAGGCCAATTAGCCTGTGGCTGAATGAGCCAGTCCGGTCCTCTCCACCACCTTAGGTCGGAACGGAGCTCGGTTGGAGTGGCTCCTCTTGTTGCTGTATCTGCCGGATTTTCATCGGTCCTTACATAATGAAAGTGTATATCTTCGTGCTTCTTAATTTCGTTCAACCTTCTCTGGACGAACGTTGGTTGATTTTGCGGTGACTTGACCCATGAGAGCGCTATTTGAGAGTCGCTCCATAAATGAACTTGGTCAATTGGTTTCCCTAGCTCCTTATTGACGTAAGCCAATGCTCGTACTCCAATAAGTATGGCTATGAGTTCCATTCGTGGTATTGTGAGTGTTTTGCCACCCTTCTTAGGTTTAAGGCGGGTTTTGGCAAAAATAAGGTTAGAGGAGAAATAATTGTTATGCTCCCCTCTTATGAAAATAGCAACAGCATAAGTGCTTATAGAAGCGTCAACAAATGCGTGGATCTGTATCTTATTGTGTGATTGAAGGACTTTCCTTTGTAGACGAATCTCCTGAACTTGCCAACCCTGGAGGAAACTCTCCCAAAAGGATTTTTCCTCCAAGGCAAGTGGAGTGTCCCAGTCGTGTTTGTCATCCCATAATTGCTGAAAAAATAACTTTGAGGGCAGAACAGCTGGACACAATAGTCCCAGTGGATCGTAGATGCCCGCTAAAGTACTTAATACTGTACGTCGTGTTGGATTGGGATTAATCTGACTACTCGGCCATTGAAATCCGAGCTCGTCACTTCGGATATCCCACTGCATTCCTAGTACCTTAACCTCTGATTTGTCGAGCCTGTCTTCTACAGGAATAGCAGAAATTGTTTCTTGTGAATTGGAGGTAAATTCTCGCAGGTTCATCTTTGCTTGCGAAAATATCATTTTGGCTTGATTGCATTTCCTGATTAATTCTTCTGGAGAACTTGCTCCTAAATGAAGGTTGTCCACATAAAGGCTACTTGCTAATTCAGTAGCAGTTGTCATGCCGTATTTCTCTAAATGGTGACGTATTACTCCCGCCAGAAGGTAAGGGGAGCAAATAACGCCAAAAGCAACTCTCGCAAAACGATAAACTTGTATGTTATCGGTAGATGGTGGTTTACCCGGGTCCTTCAGCCAAAGGAATTTGGCAACTTCCCGATCTTCTTCGTGTAGGCCCACCATAAGGAATGCTGCCTCCAAGTCAGCAATAGCCACAAATTTTGGTAGGCGAAATCTGAGCAACAACCCTACTAGTTCTGGTAGGAGCACAGGGCCACGGAGGAGGCAATCATTTAATGAAGGTTGCCCTCTCGGATGTGCACTTGCGTCGAATACTGGTCTCACCTTATGAGTAATAACTGCATGGTGAGCCAAATAATGTTCCTGTCCGGCTGGATTCTTTCGCGCTGGTTCGATTATCCCTCTTCGAAGATAATCAATAATGATTTGATGATATTTGTCTAAAAGGTCCTTTGATCGTGCAAGCGAACTGTAAGTCGAACAAAGTCGACTATAGACCATTCTGTAGTTGCTCGGTGGTGTTATCTTTGGCTCACGCCAGATCCAGCTTACCGTGTAACGCCCTTCGTTATCTCGGGCAATCGAGGACTCTAGCTGTCTAACAGCGATTTGATCATCGTCAGCTCCGGGATCCTCTGTAATCCCTATCCCCTCCAAATTCCAGAATTCTTCTATAATATTGGAAGGAGGCATTTGGTCGATATTAGACTTACCGATCGCTATCATAGCGTGTGAAGGTCGTCCTCCATATGGACTCATATCAGACTCCCCTCCAACTACTGGACCAAAGGCAGTCTGAATGACATAAATTCCTGGAGCGACTTCAGTTCTCTCCTTGAAAAACTTCCAAAAGTGTCGCGTTCCCAGCATAATTCCTGGGACTTCTGATGATATCTTGAGTGCTTGCTGGACTTCTGGGTGATCTAAATCTCGAATGGGCATTTCTGTCGTCCATTGAACCATCTCGAAAGGAGTACTTATCTCCTTGGTCCAATTGAGTTCGAGCTCTTCCCAACCACCGTCCTCTCTTCTGATTGAGACGGCATATGTTGGTGAGCGGATTCTGATTGGATCTCTCATCGTTCCGCCAAACCCGTGTACTTCGACGTCGTCGATTGATATTTGAGGTGGACGAATTTTGTCCACTAAATCCTTGGTGATGTAACTTAGCTGACTGCTTGGGTCGAAGAACACATATGCCAGTGTTCGGCTCTTCTTGTCTTTTGGCGATTCTATTGCTAATTTTCGTGTCATTAGGTACGCTGATAACTTTTTTCGTAAGTGAGGAAATGCCATGGCTGTAACTGTTTTAGTTAGATCACTCTCCGAGTCGGGAGAATTCTCTTGTGTTAAATTAGCTCCAGTCAACGGAGTCTCAATCGTGGTTGTCATTTGGGTAAACTGCCTATTCGGCGCAGTCCCCTTCTTGCTTGTCTTGTTAAGTCGTGTATGGTTCCTCGTTGTTGATGTGGTACAGACGAGAAAATTATGTTTGCCCTGACAGATTCGGCATAACATAGGAAGGTGGCATTCCTTAAATGAATGGCCCTCGCGCAGACACCTTATACAACGGTGCTGCTCCTTTAACCGGTTGAAACGCGATTGTGGCGTCGGAAATCTTGGACATTTGCTTGGGAAGTGTGCTCCTTGATGACAAAGCGAGCATTCTCTTTGGCCAAACCTCCCAAACGGTCTATTCTTGTGCACGTGAGCCGGAGCAAAAAATGTACGCGATTGCTCCTGTACTCCTTGTCGTGGTTGGTAATTTCCTCTTCTAGAGGAAATGTGATTCTCAGTCGTCTCAGTTCTTGTTTTGGGCGATTGTGAGGTTGTACATCGCTGAACCTCTTCCTTAATTTCAACAATTTTAATAAGCTCTTGTCTGAGCTGAGCACAATTCCAACGAGTATCTGCTCCTCGCTCCTTCTCAACTAATTTTGAGACAATAGAGCGGGGCAACTTGGACTTGATGGCTGTCGATATAAATGGAGATTGATCGACAATATTGAAAGCTTCCAGCTGACGACAAATTCGTTCAATCGAATCCACAAAGGATCGAATTGAATGGCAGGACTCGTTTGGCGGACTCAAATTCATGAGCTCCGACTCTAATGCTTCAGTGATGGCTCGATTATCGCCATATCGTGATTTGAGCAAATCTAGTGCTCTCGTATAATTCTCGTTGGATAGGATGAATCCCGCAACTAAATCTTTAGCGGGGCCTTGGAGGAGAGTGAGTAAATAACTCATCTTCCTAACATTGTCCATTTGGCGTTGGTCGCTGTTGATTGAAAATAATTGCCAGAAAGCTGGCCATTTCTTCGGATCGCCATTAAATGGCTCCATTTTGAGCTCTGGTAAACGTGTGTCTGGTAATATTGGAGTATCCTTGACCTTGTTTTCTCCAATACTTTGTTCTTCTTGAGTTCGACTTTGAATGCGTTGTGACTCTCGTGTTCGTTCACTACGCTCACTAACCTCTGTAATTCTTTCCTCCATTTCCAAAAGGAGGAAGTCTAGCTCGCCTATAATTCCTCGGGCCTGTTCTGCGAAGTCCATGAAATGGACCCACACTTGTCCTTCCTGTACATTAGGAGGAAACGTGTTGTACAGCTGCTCCTCAGCTTCCAAATCTCCTCCATCCAGGAGATCAATAAATCCTGTCCACTCGTGATCGAGAGTTTCTATTCGCTCAAGTGTGCGAATCAACTGATGTCTTTCAGCCCGGAGGCGTGCCGGGTTTTGTGCTTCTTGTTCATTACCCAAAAGGGTGGTTGCCGCGATAATATGATCCTTGAGGGCTCTCAGAGCTAGCCCAATTTTCCTTCGAATATGTCCTGAAGATGGCATCGTGATAAGCGATTATAATAATCTGCTTATAAGCGTTGGACTAGCTAATTTAGTCCAAAAACGCAAAAGCTTAAGGAACTTGTGCCTTTAAGCTAAAAAAAATAAACTCGCTGAAGACTGACTATCAAAGTCAGAAAATTGATGAAAATATGAGAAGAGAGCACTTTTTGTATATTTTGTGCTAAATTGATGTTTGCCGCGACTGGTAAGTGGCAGCACAAAGTTCCCTTCTCAAAATAGAAAAATAAACGCAGATGTGTGAAAAATGTAAATAAACACTAAAAATGTAAAATCAGTCGCTCTGACTTAACCGTGTAATTGGCCGACGGGTTGGCCAAAACAAAAGAAATGACTTGCTCACAGAGCGAAAAGTCAGTGTTCTTTAAACTCGTGTTGCCGCGCTCTAAAATGCGCCAATCGTGTGAATGGCCAAAGTTATGGCCAAACAAAAGAAAAGGCTTTCGTGTCCCTTTTCTTCTCAAAAAATGTGCAAAAATGCACCAACTTGTAAACTTGTTGATTGGCCGATGATTTGGCCAAATAAATTCCTTTCTTGTTTTTCGTGTAAAAATGTGCAAAAATGTGCACAACTGATGAACCGTGATAAGACCTAAGTTTTAAAAAACAAAGGAATGACTTCTTTCAATAAAATGTGCAAAATAAGCACAAAAAATTGCTAGCAAAGATTGAAATTGTAGAAAAGGGGATGAGCGGGTTTGTTCGCGGAAAAAATCGCGTCCTTCAAGGAGCGTGAATGTATGTCGGTCCGCTTGGGGGATCACGACTTTGCGCACTTTGTTGTGCGGGCTTGTAGGGGTAAGGCTGTGAATCGGATAGTTTCCGACTTAAAGATTACTCTCCAGGAGTAATAGATGATGAACGCGTGAACTGCTGGCTTGTGAGCAGATAAATGTTGGCTTACTCCCCAGGAGTAAGAATTCGTGTGTTGCTGGCTGATGAGCAGATAACGGTTGGCACTTGGGGCCAAAACCGCGTGTTCAGGATGAGAACACAAATTTAGCCTAAAAAGGCAGACGTGTTGATTGGCACAATTGCCTGAAGAAACGGGGGCAGTGCGATTGGACTGCGGACCCGTACGGGGCTCCAATTTTTATATGTGCCCAAAAGCCCTTTCGGGTGGACACACAATTTGTACGGCCTCCGGCTGTGGGAGGGACGGACGCTTATAAAGGGAGGACAGAGAACTCAAAGTTCTCTTAGGCTTATAAGCGATGATGACAACGACAGCCTACCCAAAAATCCCCAAAATTACACACACCAAAGAAGAAAAGATTTATTTAGTTAACAAATAAATTTAGCGGTCCGATAACAGCTCGGGATCCGCGGTGTGGTTAAATTGGTGATTAAAATATGTGGTGAAATACGAACAAATAATTAAGTTAGTGCTCCGCTCTCCTGCTCCCGGTTGAAGGGGGAAAAGTTGGTTTAATTTATTGGGTTTAAAGGAATTAGAAAATTAAAGAAGGTTTTGGAAGAAGTTAGGAAAAGTTGGAAATTGAAAGAAGTGATTTAAGGGACAGCCGAGCGCTAACTTGACAGCCAAAAGAAGGCGTGGTTAAACAAAATAAATTGTGGGCGGTAAATTAAAATAGGTGAGAAAAAATGGAAATATTGGAGGGCTTATGCCCTTTTGGGCACAGTCCGGTTTTACCCGGTAAACTCTCCAGCATAATTTACCAAGAATGAGATCATAATTTACCAGGATCTCCAGCATAATTTACCAGGATCTGAGAATGGATGAGTGACTTGGATGAATGACCGATCAACTAATTAACAAAATCAGTTGAAACCCGGAAGAAAACAAAAAAAATAAACAAAACAATAAAAAATCTAAAAAATAAACACGGGGACTCAAACGTCCCCTTTTGGAAAAATTCGATGAGTTGATCGTTTTTGGCCGATTCGATGAGTTGAGGATTCGATGAGTTAAGGATTCGATGAGTTGAGTGTTTTTGGCCGATTCGATGAGTTGAGGATTCGATGAGTTAAGGATTCGATGAGTTGAGTGTTTTTGGCCGATTCGATGAGTTGAGGATTCGATGAGTTAAGGATTCGATGAGTTGTAGGGTAGCCCACTAAACAGTTAAAGGGTTTAGGTCGGTTCAGTGCGAAAAAGTCAGTTAGGTGTGACAGCTAGCTTGTTTTGTTGCAAATACTAGAGGATTCTCTCTTCAAGTTTCAATTCGAAATACTACATATAAAACTGATTAGGGACACTGAACTGACTACAGACAGTAGCAGAACAAAATAAACATGTAAAGAAAATTAAAAAAAATAAAAATTGTTAAAAAATCAGCAATTTTTAAAATAAAAAATAATTAAAAAAGCATCCTTTAAACAACCTTGGAATCATCATTCTTATTCTCCTCAGCATCAGCCACCGCTAATCTCGATTTTTCCGAGCTATTCTCTTGCATTTGCTCATCCACTAAAGAACAGAATTTTTTTCATCTAGCAATACCAAAAAAGAATTTCTTACCTTTCCCCTGCATTTTTTCTTCTAGATGATCCAGCTTCTTTTTGAATACATCCTGAACCAAATGCTGCAGATTGTGCTTCTCCTAAATTTAAATTTGAAATTTTTTAAAAAATAAATTTGAAAAAGTCCCTTAAAAAGGCTTATAAAAATTCAAAGGGTATCGAAAATATCTCTCTCTCTCCTTTTGTTGTTCCCTCAAAACTATACTAAAAAAGAGATGAGAAGGATCAATCAAGCATGCGAACAAAATAAAAACGTTACGAGAAAGAAGAAAAAACATGGATTTTTGGATATAAACTCTTAATCAAGAAAAAAAGAGCGGCTGTCAATTAAAAAAAACTATTTTTTATATATCCATCTTCAATAAGAAAACTCCTTCAAAATATAAAATAAACCTGGTTCTTCTCTAATTTCCAATAAAGTGCTGCTGGTGGTTTCTTCAATCATTTCACAACTTCTTTCTTCCTCCTCTTCCATTTCATTAAATTTTTGGGCGGAAACAGCTGCTGGATTTGTTGTATTTACCATTTCAAGAGGACAATTTCGTCGGTAAGTTTGGTTTCCAACTTGATAAGTAGGCACTTCGAAGGGATTTTGCATTGCCAATTTTGTTCTAGATTTGCAGCGAAAAGCGATTGTTGTTGTTGACAATTTGGTGAGTAGACGAAGTAAATTATTTCGCATTCAATTCTTTTAAAAGTTCATGAAGGGTTGTTTACTGGTTCTATAGGACTAAAAAATGTTTGAAAAAATAAATTAAGAGGAAAATTAAAAATATTAGAAAAGGAACACTCAGAAATTATCAAAAATCTTCTGAGTATTAACCTTCCAAATAAATTTTAAACAAAAACAAATTAAAGCTCTAATATTCTTTTATTAAAAATAAATAAATTAAAAAAATACTATCTATCATTAACACCAAGTTTAGAAGCAATTCTCTTCCTTTCTTCAATTTTTGCAACTTCTCCTGCCAATTGTTTCCTCAATTCTTCATATCTAGGCGTATATTCTTTTAAAATATCAGCTCTTCCTTCTTCAATTTCTGCTTTCATTAGAGCAAAAGGATTGTAAATTTTAAATATAACAGTCGTGCCAACAATAGCTCCACCAAGAAAAACACAAAATTTACGTGCATAATCCCAACTTGTTGATGGCAACATAAATTGAACTTAAAGTATGTTTAAATCCCTGAAAATTATAAAATTTTACTTGAAAATTGTCAAATATAAAAAATTCTGGGAGAGTGACTAGATTGTTTTTGTATATTTTACTTTTTTACACTTTGAAATAGCTTGAGTTTACATTTTGAAGTTCTCCACGAAATAGTGTTTTCTAGAGAAATAAAGTAAATTTTTAAATAATACTCGTTGGCGATTATTTTGGCATTACGTTATTATTGATTTTCAGGATTATTGATTTTCCTCTGTTGTCCATTTATAGCAAAGATGTTCTACAACAGAATGAAGGCTTTTCTCTTTTTTGGGGATTAACCTTTTTGGGGGGTCGAGGGAGTAATGACTTGCGGACAAGACTTGCTTTTTTCAATTTTTGAAAAATATAGCCAATCTTTTTCAGTCTTCACTTCAGCAACAACAACAGCAGCAACAACAACAGCAGCAACAACAACAGCAGCAACAACAACAACAGCAGCAACATCAAAAGCTCAAGTGGTCTCTTCGGAGATCGCTGGGCACAAAAGCTCAAGTGGTCTCTTCGGAGATCGCTGGGCACAAAAGCTCAAGTGGTCTCTTCGGAGATCGCTGGGCACAAAAGCTCAAGTGGTCTCTTCGGAGATCGCTGGGCACAAAAGCTCAAGTGGTCTCTTCGGAGATCGCTGGGCACAAAAGCTTCAGTGGTCTCTTCGGATGCTCTCGTCTACATGGTTAGCTTTTTTACTTTATTAAATTTGCAAGTTTTGTCCGCAAAGTTTCCCCCCTAAATAAGTTTATCCGTTCCCAACGTTAAAGCCAATTAAATGGTGGCCAAGTTCTTGTCAAACGAGAAGACGTACAGCAGATGTTCCATTGGTTAGATGCAATTTGTTTGTTTTGAATGGTTGATCTTTTTATAGGTTGTTTTTATGTTTAAAATTTTTTTAATGACTTGAATTTCAGCTTTGAGAGAGTATCCAGAAGCCTTGAAAATTTTTAAGAGGTTATTTTTAATTGTTTACTGTGGTTTCAAGATCATTTTTAGGCCAATGAATTGTCGCGGGAAGACCGTTATTCTTCAGAAGAACAAGAATCAGCAGAAAATATTATTGTTAGCTTTTTTTATTTTTTAATTTTGTTCTGGCCAAAAAAAGATATTTGTTCCCAAGGGTGTCCTCGCACCCCTTCACTGTTCATTAAACAATTTTTAGACTCCCAATGGGTCAACCAATGGATGAAGAAAAAGATTTAAAAATAAATTACCAGAGACGGGTTCGAACCCGCGACCCCCGTCAACATCGAAACTTTCTAGTTATTCTTTAAAATTGAAGGATAATAGGGGTCGCTATTAAGTGCACACAACAACTTTTTTTTATTGCACACAACAACTTTTTTAAGCTAAAAATAAATCTTCCAAATAAATTTAATGTTGTTACAATTTTTAAAATTTTTCTCTCATCAAAAATATTTTTCCCTCTTGTTATCCTTTTTTCTGTTATAAGTTTTCGGCACATTAAAGAATAGCGGCTTTTTCGACAATTCATTTTTCAACATTTTCTAGTATTTCCCCTTCTTTAAAATATGAAAAATGAGAAAAGCGGCATAGAATTAAATGCCATCAAAAATATTTTTGAGAGTTTTGCTGACAGCCGATATGTTTTTTTATTCTCCAAAACAGTTGTCATCAACCTTGTTTTTTTACACAAAAAGCGACGCCAAAAGATGACTAGAAAAAAGATGAATATTTTGTGAAGAAGAGGACAATAAAATGGAAGAAGCAAAAAATTCTACGGCACAAATGGCGCGCAAAAAAATTTTTTTCAATGTGTGCCACTTCTCTTTTTGGCATTTTTTTCTTCTCTTCCCTGATTTTTGCCTATTTTTCTATCCAATCTCCCGCCCATTTTTCCTTCCTTGTCTTCTCATTTTTATTTTCACATCTGCCTCTAACGCGCCGGAGAACGCCGCATTCATTTTAAAGGCGATCTAAATGTGCCGATAAGAAAAAGATGGCAATTTCTTTGCAAATAAATATTTTATTTTCATTTTCTTCAAAAATTTTCGTTTATTTTTGCTTTCTTCAATTTCCTTTTAAATTTTTGAAATCCTAGCCTTTTTATTCTAAGACTTTTAATTTCTTAAATCCCTGCCAATAATTTTCACTTTCTATATAGGTATATTTTAATTTAACATTGACTTGTAAGTTGTTGCGTGGCCGAATGGTTAGCGAGTTGGGTTCGAGTTTTTTAATCTTGTGAGTTCGAACCCCTTTGGTGCCCTGTTACTTTTTACTTATTTTTAATATGTATTAACATGTTTTACAACTTTCAATCAATCTTTTTTGCATTTTTAAATTTTTATTTGCTAGAATTCTGTTTCCCACTACTATTTAAACTCCTAAACTGATTGATGTACCTCCATTTTGCCTTAATTATTATTTTTTATTTAATACCATCGATCATTTTCATTATTTTTTCCATTTAGTTGATGTGTGCCATAAGCATTAGAACACAAAATTGTGTAATATAATGGATGGGGTTTTCTGGAGGAGGATGGGGTTACTTAATGGTTTAATAAGGATATTTAGATTTTTATAAAAGTACATAAAAATTCTTTCTAAAATACCCTAACTTGTGAGTATTTGCCTTAGTTTTTTTCATTTTCTGACTTTTTTTTTTAATTTTAAAAATTTATTTTATCAAAAATTATTAAAAAATATTGTTTATATTTTACTTTGAAGTCTCCCAAAAAAATTTTTTTGCCCACCTGCCTCTATAAACGTTCAATCCTTTCCTTTATTTACTTCCTATTTCCGCTAAAAAGACAGTTTTTTCTGATTTTTCTGTTCAAATTTTTTGACCGTTTGAAGAGAGAGATTATCTTTTAAGTGAAGCTAAATTATAGACAAAATCCTTCCTTTAAAAAATTTTTAAAATTTAATAAATGACCTATATATCTCTCTCTACCCTTTTCCGGTTTTCCTTCAGATCTTCTCCTTACCTTTTAAAACTCTTTTAAAGATAGCCGCGCGCGATTACCGCTCTCGGGGAATTTAAAGGTGTGAGAATATAGGAAGCGGTAAACAAGAAAAAAGAAAAATCACAAAAATGACCGGATTATTCGAGAAATTGTATTGCGCAATAATTGTAAATAAAGCAACAAACACAAGAAATTCTCGAATACAAAGACATAAAAAATGTCGGCATTTTTTCGGAAAAAAAATTTTTGGCGGCATTTTACCTGTGGATTGTTTAATTAAAGGGAGGGGAATGAAAATAAAAATTTATGGAAATGGCCCAACTATTTTGGGATATTTAAGCTATAGAAAGGAATACTGTATATCCTCACCTAGTTGCTAAATATTGCCTGAGGCAATAACCATTAAAAATATTTTCCTGTCATTTTCTGGTATCGTAATATAAACTTAATTTTTCTTGATACTCTCGATTAATCCCCATGCCATGGATGGGTTGAACCTATAATTCCCCTCCTCAAGTATTCTATTGCACGTTCAAATTTCAAAACTAATCCCCTCTTTCGAATAATTCTCCATCCCATGGAGGGGTCGAAATACTATTTCCCCGTGGATTTCTTTTCAATTTTCAATTTTTTCCCCAATTGAGAAAATACAGTAAATAAGCTTATCTTTTACTAAAATTATTTTTTATTCTATAGTTTATCCTCTCTTATTAATATTTTTTACTGATAAGTAACTTTCTGTTTATTCCCTTCTAAAGTCTAAAAAAACACCGAAGGGGTCATCATTAAATTAGGAAAAAATAAATAAAAAACCCTCCCTTTTAAAAATAACCAAAAAAACTGATAAGATGTGCGAAAACCTTGTTTTCTTCCCCTTTTTTCCCTAATGGCGCAATCATCTCAACAAAAAATTTTCAGGGTCGTCACGGTATGGTGCTGTTGGCACACAAAAACCCTCAACAACAGTTGGTCATTTATGGCAGAAAAACGACGCCATCGAACAACAAAAATGAGGGAAAATGTGAAAATGAGAGAAAGTAGGGGGATGATCAATGGGAGGAAGGGGGGTTTGGCGCCATGGGGGAAGGAAAAAGCTTCGGCAGAAGGGGAGGGAAGAATGGCATTTTTTGGAGGAAATGAATATATTTGTTTTAGAAAAATGAGATAATGGAGGAGTTGATGAAGAGGGAGGAGGGGAAGGAGGAATCTCTTCCCAAAAAAGCCTTACAGTCCATTCTCCTTATTTTTTCCTTCATACTTCCTTCACCTGTCCTTCCCCTCTATATATCCCTCCAAGCTCTGTTCGCCCTTCTGTCGCGCGCTCTTCAGTAAAAAGAGAGAAAGAACCTTTCCTCCTTCATTTTTCTTCCATTCTCTCTCATTGCGCATTATAACTTCAAAAATATATAAAACCTTTTCTTTCTTGTCAAAATGGACGCTCCATTTTCCCTCATTTTACAAGGATATTTAGCAAGAATGTTTTATAACACCTTTTTGTGACAATTAAGAGATTGCCTGAGGCAATAAACACACTTTCTAATTAATTTTAATAATTTGTTAATTTATTTGGCTATTCTTTTGTAAGTTGAAAGGGTTTTTGAAGGGTCTTCCTTAGAAAGGATTTGGGGGAATTTTATTTTAGGAATCCATACCATTTAAGACTACAATAGTCTCAGGGTCTAGACCGTTGACTCCAGCGGAACGTAAATAAATTCCGAAAAGACTTTGCAGGATCCCCTATAAGTTTTGGAATTTTTAAAATTATTTGCAAAAGACAGCCTTTTTCCTTCCTTCTCTAATCTATTTTAAAATTTTTTCAAATGTAAATTTGTATTTTTTTCTTCTTTTATTCGCGCGTTACAAAAAATGATTTATCCATTTTTCTTTATTCTTTACCGAAATTTCCCTCATTTTTTCACATTCGAACTTTAAATTTTCTTTAGACTTTTTTAGACTTTCTTAAATTATTTAAAAAATGAATGAAGAAAATAAATTTGTAGACGTTTGTGGCGATTTTGATGAAGAAAATAAAGAAAATTGTTTTAATATTAGACAAGCTAAAATTAAAATTAAAGAAGAAAATATTAGAACAATCAAAGGAGATGGAATTGAAGGTAATGAATATTTTTTTCTAGGTTATAGAATGTTGATCCTAAGATTTATTGTTAAGGAAGTGATCTTTTGGGACTATAAAGTATTCTTGAAATTTGATATTAAGGAGGTGATCTTTTGGGACCAATGAAATTAATATTCCAATACGACAAAATGGAACACAGGGAAGGGTCGACAAAAGGGAACGTAGTAAGGAACGACAAAAGGGAACATAGGGAAACATTTAAGACATTTGGGAATCAGACATCTGTGGACATAACATTTAGGAAAAATTATACATAATAAAGAAATAAAGTAACTGAAAGCATTTCAGAAACTTCATCAACATCACAGATTCGTAGAGGACCCTCCAGAAAAGAAAAATCATTGGGAAAATTGTGTGCTCCATTTCTTGAGCGTGTATCTTTGGAAGCAGCACAGGGGCGAGATGTACACTTGGAAAGTGTTGCTAGAAGTATGAACGTTGAGAAGAGAAGAATCTATGATATTGTAAGGGAATTTACAGTTACAGTTGGATCTCTTATTAGATTCACCCATGGGAGCTGGAAACATTGTATCTTGAGGGAGAGTATTATTTAGAGGGAGTATCGTTTTAGGCATCTCCCCACCACTCAGTGGTCAACCAGATTTAAGACATGTATCTCTTAAATGGGAGGGAGTCTCCTTTAGGTGAGGGGGTGCCAACCTTCTTAGAGAGGTCCAACTATGTGATATTTAACTCCAAAAAATCCCAAAAATATTTTTAAACTTAAAGGTAAACGTAATGGAAGCCTTAGAAGTTATGCAAAAAACAAACAAATCATTTTATAAATGGCACGGACTTGATAGATTGCCAGAATTAATGTTTGCTTTGCAAAGGGATGCCCAAAAAGGAGAATTACCAATAAAAATAGCAAAAGTAGAGAAGGCAATGTGTAGTTTCACAACAAATTTTAATCTCAATTTTACTGAAGAAAAGATAAAATTGAAAGAGGAGAAGCATTCAACAGAAGAATTGCCGGAAGATGAGGAGGAGGATTCTGCTTTTGGACCTTTAACAAGTAGAGATAGATGTGGAAAGAATTCTTTGGCTCAGTTATGTAGAAGATTTTTGATGGTGTTGCTTTGTAATCCAAATAGAGCTGTTAGTCTAGATGTTGTTAGGTAGGTAAAAAGCTAAAATAAATTTTTAAAATAGTCAGAAAATAAATTTTAATAGTAGGATACCCCTTTGGGGTCGAAAAGAGTAGTGATTTTTGATCTTTATTGGACCATAATTTTTTGTAGGATGTTTTGATTAATTCAAACCTGTTAGCTAAAATAATCCTCAAATCAAGGGCTTTCGATTCATACAATAATTATTTAAAATGGCTAAGAATCAAAAAAGTTATGGCCCAAAATATGCCTCGAGTCTGTATTTTTACAATTTATTTTTTAGCACAATGTTAATCAAAGATTTGGATTCTGAAGGTTACGAACCTCCTTCACGTTCAAGATGTCGACGTCTATACGACATTGGTAAATTTTTAATTAAATTGTTTAAAATTATTAATTTTAAAAATTTAAAGCGAACGTTCTGGCAATGATGAGTTTAGTTGAGAAGAAACATCATTTGTTTGGAACAAAGAAGATTCCACTCTTTGTGTATTGCGGACCTGAACCTGATGGTTTGTTTTATTATTTAAAATTTTTTGAAATAAAAATATAAATTTTTAAATTCAATTTAAAGGAAAAAATAGGAGAAATTAAAAAGGAAGGAACCAATCGGGTTCGAACCCAGGCAGTTAAGTTTAGTAATCGAGACCCTTAACCATTCGGCCACGATGTATGCATACTAAATCTCAATTTTAGAGGTATATTTTGGCGGAAATTTAAAGTTTTAATTAATTTCCAAAGAGATGGCACGCAAAAAAATCCTTCCTCCCATTTTATAAAATTGAATTTAAAAAAAAATATTTCAATTTTAGCAGAACCTACCAACTCAGCATTGCGCATGAGTGAATTCCTTTCTCGAGCTCGTACAAGAATAGCTGTTGTTTCAAGTGTTTCTTCTTCTTCAATTCCTTCTTCCACATCTCATCCTTCCATCACTCATCCACCAATTCCTTCTCCAGATGTTGTTGGAACTTCAAATTCCCCCAAATATTTTAAAGAAGAGTTTAATGAGGAGAATAAAAAGAACAAAAAAATAATAAAAAAGATGAAAATTGAACAAGAAAGCAACAACAACAACAACACTTGTTCAATCCCAACACTAACATCTCCTTCAAGTGAAGACATTGGAATTAAAAATTCCGTAAAACGTCGCAAAATGAATCGAGTAACTTGTCAACAACAGGAAGAGGAACACAGCGAAAACGATGAAAATTTTGTTTTGCCAAAACCGCGTCCTTTACGTCCACAACAATTAAATAATGTTTATTCTCTTCCTCAACCACAACAACAAATATTTTTGTTGCCTTCAAGTTTTCCTTCTTCTTCCTCTCAACAAACATTTTATTGTTGGCCAATACAACAACAACAACCTCACCAAACATTACAAAATCAAACCCATATATTTACAACACCAACAGAATTATTTTTAAACAATAATTCTCCCTCTCCTTTAAATTACTCATTAATACCACTACAACAACAACAGCAAACACAACAACAAACACAAAAACATTCGCAAAACATTAACAAATCTCCACCCAAAAATCCAATAAATGTGCGACATTCTGTTCAGTCAATTTTGGGTTATACTATTCAAAATCTGAACGGTAATTCTTTAAAACTTACAAAAGAAATTAAGACTATTTTTTATAGGAAATAATTCTGGTCAACAACAACAACAAATAGCCCCTCTTTCCTCATCCATATCCTCATCCCCTAGAGCATTTAGACCTTTACACAACAAAAACAACAAGTAATAAAAGGAAGGGAATAGTGAAGATTTAAAGAAATATTGAGAGTAGAGTGATTATTAAACAAAGGCAAATCAACACAAAATCAAGACTCTCAAAAAAACTCCTCAGACACGGTGCTTAATTTTTATATTCAATAATTTGTATAATTTTTTAAGGCTATCCGCATTTTCTAAAAATTAATTAAAATTTTCTAAAAAATTAATTGATAAGAGGTCCTAAAATTAATCCTAAAATTGATTTTTTGGAGTTCGAAGACGCTTAACAAAAAATATTTATTCGATTTGCGGGTAGCCCTAACTCCGACACTCATTTTCTTTCTTGACTTACAAACACACAGACCCACACTAAAAAATTTTTTTATTTTCTGCTAATTTATTTTTCTCTAATTTTATAAATTACCAGTATTTCACATTCTACATTTTTTTAAAATTAGAAAAAAAATTTTTTATGGAAATATTTTTGTGTAAATTATTGTGGTGTGTTCACGCATTCCGTGTGTTAACTTGAAAAAAATTTTGTTCCAGAATTATTTAAAATTTTATTTTACCGTTTCCATATCCAATCTAGCCTCCAAATGATGCCCATCAATTAAGGACCATTCTCTAACCAAGTCGTGAACTGGCAAATCACGCGAAAAACTGATTCTGCCAATATCCACCAATTTGAAACGAATACGAAAGTTGGAGACTGGGCCTTCTTCGACTGTTACAAAGCCTTTAAAAATTTTTTTAAGGTTAAAAAATTTTTTGAAAATTTTCTTGAAAATTTCTTCTCACCATTATTCATAACAGTAGTTAGGGCTACACGCGTACCACCAGAATAAACAGTTATGTAACCATTTTCACTGTGTAATTCGTCTCTGTCATGAGCTGACCAAGCAAAGGCACTATTAAAAAAATGATTTTTAACTAAGAAAAAATTTCCAAAATTTTTACGTGTAATTAAAAGCTGGTTCAGCATGCAATTTTGGATTTGTTAGGCTTATAGAAATTTCTTCACCATAAGTAAATTTTGGAATTGTGGGGAACATCTTTAAAAATATTTTTGAAGTGAACATATGACCAGTGGGTTGGGAAAGCTGTCCTCCAAGAGATACCTCCCCCAACCGCCCCTCATTAAAAGGTACACATTTTAAAAATCAAGAAGGGTTTCCCTATATTGATGGTTTATTTTCTCAAAATAATTTCTATAAAATTATTTAGATTTTACCGCCTTTCCATCATGTTCTGAACGCCAAACACCCAAAAGCCTAGAAAAAAAAAATTTTTTGAAAGTCTTTTAAAAATTTTAAAATACCAAGAAATTGGTTTAAGTGAATCCGGAGCTAGAAAACCATCATAATCTTTAATAACAAAATTTTAAAAAATCAAAAGAAAATTTAAAAAAGACCTCTAGCATTTCGAGAATCAATTAAAGGAATAATTGTAAAAAATAATAAGGTTTGAACAACACAGTGAAAATTTGAAAATAAATGTTGAAAATAATGTTGTCCTCCAAACATTTGGAAAAGTAAAATATAAATCGGTGGTGTGAAGCCTGAAAAAAAATTTTTTTAATTTTTGTTAAAATTTTTTTTAATCAAACAACCAAATAATAGGTAAAATAAATATTAATTTTATTTTTTTTCTAGGTTAGTTTTCCCCCAACTGTTTTTTTTCAAAAAAATATTTTTAGTGAAATATTGCTTCTACTAAAAAGGTGAGAGGAGGCTTTTTTAATTAACGCCTTTAAAGCCCATTTATTATTTTTAAAACTGAAACCAATATAAAATTTTTTTAGTTTCTATTATTACTATTTTTAGTTGAAACATAAAAATAGTAAAAATATTTTTTTGAACCTGACTCATTTTATATTAAAAATATTTTAAAATAATCAAAACAATTGTTGTCCCACCGCTTACCTAAACTAAAATTTAATTAGCTATTGTTCCTCCCATTCGCTTACCTATACGTTTAAAAAAAGAGAAAAAAGAAATTTTATATTAGAGGTCGTTCGGTTCGATTGCGCACAAAAATTTCATTTATATTTTTTTGCAAGAAAAGGTAAATTGGTGGAACCGGCCTAGAGAGAAGGTTGTGTTAATTTTTGAGTGACGAGAGCAAGGCCAATAAAAAAAATTTTTTTAGAAAAGGAACATTAAAATATAAAATATCAAAAATGTTTTAAAAGGGAGAAAATACCAAAAATAAATTTAAAAAATAAATTAAGGGATACTTTTTTTTATTGACTAGTTAAGAGGTCTTAAATTGATTACACACCAAAAGTTAAATTATTTAAAAAATTAAAAACAGACGTATTTTGCCCGTTTCCTTTGTTTTTCCATTTTCTTCTTTTTGTCGTTGTTGTAGTTTTGCTTGGCAATAATAATTAAACAATAATAAAAATCGGCAGCAAAATTAAATACAAGTTGAAGCGAAAATTTTTTTTATTGATGTTCATTGTTGTTGATCTTTTTATTTTGTTGTTTGCTAATTAAAATAATTTTGTTGTTATTGTTTTTAGCGTTCATGTTATGCAAAAATGATGAGAGGAACTGGAAAAAAATTCTGTAATAAATTTAAGATTAAATTTGGTAGGGCTAAAGGGCTATCATTTCGAATTTAAAAATTAATTTTTAATTAATTTAATTTTTTATCAAAGGAGAAAGAGGGATGAGGGAGGGATTTCTTCTAATCATAAATCCAATTCAAAAAAATTTTTTTTCACTCCCAAATCTTTTTTAAATCCCCCAAAAAGAACAATCCTTATAATCTTTGCCTATTTTCTCTCAACAGAGAAAAAATAATAAAATTCTTTTTTTAGCCAAAATTTATGTGTTTTTATTGTTGTTGTCCGTCTTGGTCTTGTTGCTGTTGTTCTCTTAGTTTTTTTATTTTTATTCTTCTTCTTTGGCGGCAAAATACGACCTTCCTCCTCTTTTTAGTCAGATGAAAATAACGACACATTTAAAAAAACCACATTTTTTCTGATCTGCCCATTATTTCCAAAAAAATGTGGAAGAAAAAATCCCTCCCCTCCCTCTTCCATTCACACTCATTTAAAAATCAGACCAAAAATAGATACAAATAATTCCCCAAAAATATTTTTTTTAATTTATCCTCCGTTAAAAAATTTTTTAAATATACATATGTAATTACTTCAATATTCTCTTATTTATTAGAATTTTTAGTCGTTTACCCTGTAGTCCCGAGCCGTTTGAGACTATAAAACAATTGTTTGAAACCAAACGGAACTCGAGATGGGGAAGACGATTGAAAAAAATAAAATGGAAAAATTCCCTTTTTGCTGCTATGCTCTAAAGAGTATGCTATAACATTTAGATACTTTCTTGTTTGTAATGTTTTAATTAAACAATTAAAATTTAACTAAATTCAATGTTTAAAATTCAAAAATAAAAAAAAAACTTAAAAAAATTTTCAAAAAAATTAGCTACCATTATTTTCTCTTTTTTTCCTACACTTATTCTCGTATTAATAATTTTTTTTATCAAATTATCATAAAATTAAAAAATTGCTTTAACCGGTTTTTCTCTGCTACAAGGCTATAAAAAAGAGAAAACAAAAGATATAACCACACAAAAAACATTTTTCTTATGTAAATCCTCCCCACAATGCGCGCAAAAATTATCTTTTTACAATTAATATCCATTTTTGTAAAAATTTTATTGATTTTATTTTTATCCCAATTTCCCTTTTACAATTGTGAATTTAATCCGGATTTTAGAGCTTTTGTTCATAATAGGTAGAAATTTTAAAATAGTCGGTTACCGGTTGTACTTAACCCTTGGAGATAAGTGTTCGTTTCGTAAATTGAGGTGTATTATAGAATCGGAGGTCATCTCTTTCCTTCCCAAACTCTTATCCATCCAATGGTCAATTAATCAACTATAAAAAAATTATACGTACAAATAGAGAGTACACAAAAAAACCAGGTGTGCGTACAATCGGGGACAAAAACCCCAAAAAAATTAAAAAAAATTTACAAAAAAAGATATGGACTACCAATAGTAAATCAACTAGAAAGGAGAGATTTGGGTAATGATGCAAGTACAGGTGGAGGACCCGTGGGAAATGAAGAGGCTGTTGTTATTGTTCATGGAATTACAAATAGAATTACTCGATTTAACGTAAAAAAATTAAAAAAATTTTTTTAGAAATTTTTATAAAGGGAATAATCGAAAAACTTCGTTCTCAAGGTTTTCAAGTTTTTGGGACTACTTGGGGTGATGGAGGGACTACACCCGTTGGTTTGGTAGAACTTAGATGTGCTTATGTTAAACAAATAAGGTAGAACTTGAAAGAAAAATTTTTTAATAGAAAAAAAAATATCAAAAAAATTCCAAGAAATTCTAATTAAAAATTCTAAGCATAAAAATAGTATATAAAATCTAACCTAAAAAATCCAAAAATTTCAACTTTAAAAAATCTCAAAGAAATTTTCTAATTTTTCAGAAGCATGTTAATCGCAGTTCGAGAATACACAAATAAAAAAGTGGATGTTATAGCATACTCGATGGGATCGCCGATAGCCAGAAAAGTACATAGAGATCGGACTGAGAGGGTGTACGAAAATTGACACCTCGAAAAAAATTTTGATCCTCGAAAATTGATTGATTGAGAGCCCGTCTCGGTCCAATCTCTAATTAAAATGTTAAAAATATAAACCCACCAAAAACAAAAATTTCAGGCAATCCTTGGCGGAACATGTGTTGACACTCGAGAATTATTAGGCCCTCCACTCACTGAACATGTAGATACATTTCTAAGTGTTGCTGGAACAAATAATGGAGCATTGCCTTGTCTTGTACCAATTCCCGTTGGAACATGTAATAAAAAGAATGGTCTACATTGTGAATCTGAATTTCTATCTGATATAAATAAATTAAGAGGTTATGAAGGAACAAATATTTTTAGTATATTTTCGACATCTGATGAAAAGGTAATTTAATTATTTTTGGTACTTAATTATCCCTCCTTCCTTTTTAAATCATAAAAAATCTCTTAAGATTGGTCTCAAAATGTGTTCCCGTCTAGTTTCACCAATTATTGGCGAAACTGGTTATGTACGTAAAGAAGGATTAACACATGATCAAGTTATGGACAATACTATAGATACGCAAATAAATTTTATTTTTAAACATAGACCAAGATAGATTTTTTTAAACGAAAATCAAACGAATATTCAAACGAAAAACACCTGAATTTTATAATTTTATATATTAAAAAATATGTATAAAATATATAATTAACATTTTTATATTTAAAAATACTTTTTTTAATAATAAAAAATTGCGCTTTTTAAGGGGAGAAAAAATAAATAATAAAATATAAAAAATATTAAATAAATAAAATTTAGAATGTTCGTGGCAAATTAAGAGAGAGAGAGAAAAGGATTTAAAAAACACCGAAAACAAAATTAAAAAAAATAAAATAAATTAATTAAAATACTAGATACACAAAGAGTTTGAGCTTTAGATACAACAGAGAGAGAAATTAAAAAAATTTGTTTGATAAAAATTGAAAAAAATACGAAATATTTAAAAGACAAAATTTTGTAGAGAAAAAAAAGTAGAGAGAGAAAAAATTAAAAATTTGAAAATTTTAAAAGTTGAAAAAATATGCACTAGAGGATTAGAGAAAGGCATATGAAATTTAAAATAATATAAGCAAAGAAATCAGAAAAAAGAAAAGAAGATCAGAACAATAATAAAAATAACAGAATAATAAATTTTTGAGTAGCTGTGGCTTTTAATTATTAAGTGAATATTTTTGGTTAAAAAAATAAAAAACAATATACAAATTATGATCACATAAAAAATATATGAGGCGTTTATAATTTAAAAGACAAAGGACAAACAACAAACGATTAAAATTTTTAAAATAATTTTTAAATAAAATTAATAGATACAGTCGGACCTCACTTATGTGAATCAAAGGTAGGAAGAAATCAAGAGTTAACTAATCGTTGCCACAGGCAAAGATTGACCGACAAACTTGAAGGAACAGGAAAGAAAAGGCCTAATCCAAAATGTCAACGGTCAAATGCTGCTCTCCTTTCCAGTGATCTTTTGGGTTCTAAAAGAAAGGAGGAAAAAAGAGAAAAACGTCAACACTCAATTGCTGCTCTCCTTCCCGGTGACATTTTTGATCGTAAGATTATTCAGGTTATAAGAACGTACCCATAAGTGAAGTCCGATAGTATTGAATAAAATAGTTTAAGGCATACCCCTTCACCAAATTTTTTTAAAATACAAACTTACCCCCAGTAGCAGCAACAAAAAACATCATGGAGGAAACACAGTCCCACTAAACGAAGCAGAATTATCTTCAAGTAAATGTTCAACAAATTCAGTATAATCTTGACGAGTTGCAAAACGACGACCAAATTCAGCAATAGCTTGTTTTCTTTTTAGATGAGTCATTTGATAACTTTAAAGTTAGAAAATATTTTTTAAAATTAAAATCCACGATTCGCCCCACTGAACAAAAATGTTCGATTCGTCCCACCGAACAAAAACCACGACTCGTCCCACTAACAAGAATCCCAATTCATCCCAACCTCACTCCGTCCCACATTTAAAAAAATTTTCTTTACTTGTCAATTTCAGCAGCTTTTCTTCTTGCTACATTACATATTGTTTGTTTTAATAATAAAGGTAAAGATCTAGTAGATACAACAGTTCCATTATGTAAAGGTCCAGGACGTCCTTGTTTAGTCCAAATACCAGCAATTTGTATTCTTCTTAATCCTCTCTCAAATGGGTAAATATAAAAAACTAAATGGTCTATTGTTTGTTGTTGTTGCTGATGTTGTGTTTGGATATTTGAATTTAAAATTGTTGTTGTTGAATGTTTAAGAGTGTTTATATCATTTGTTGTAAATGGAAACATTTCAGCTTAAAAATTTAAGAAGGTAAAAAATTAGGGTTCTAGCCTAGTTTATGAATCCAATGAAGCGTTATAAGTTCAATGAACCTTCATGAGTCCGATTAAAATATGAATAGATTACTCTACGTCCATAAAAATTCATTACATTAGTAAAGTGTACCTAACGAACACATGTAGTAGGTTACAGAAGCAAGGACATTTGAATTTAAGAACGGATTAGGAACGAGCTCTGGCAGATATTGTTTCATAGGACTTATAAACCTCTGTCTGAACTTAAAAATTTTTATTGGACTCATAAGGCTTTACTGGACTAATAAAGGTCCATTGGAGTTAAACTAGACCAGAAGCAATTTATTCAACTAATTAAAAAAAACATCAAACCAATTGGAAAGGTTGACAAATCTTCTAATCTTTCTAACCAAACAATAAAAATCCTCAAATCAGCAGAACGCTTTGACCATTTTTGTAAATTTGTAGTTGCTTTCTGTTGTTGTTGTAAATGTTCAATATTTGTTGTAGCTGTTGTATTAGTTGAATTAACTGTGGAGGATTCATTTCCAACTGAAGCAGAACTTAATGTTCGATTATTAGATTGAATCCTGGTAAAAGATGATTTGTGTAATTTTTAAGAATTAAAAAATGTTTTACGAGGAAGCTTGTGGTGGATATGTTGTAGGTGCAGATGACATTACATTATGTCCTCCTGTATCTTTAATTCTTGAAGGGTTGCCGTTGGAAGAAGCAAATGATTCTAAAATTTTAAAACTCAAACTAAAAATATTTAGCTTAGAAATTAATAAAAAAAAAGACGAGACAAGGCTATAAAAAATATTGTTAGTGTCAGTTAATAAAGCAAAAAACAAGCACTAGCTACATACAAATAAGCGTGCAATAAAAAACAATTAGTGGCAATAAAAAAATAATCTTCCTTCCCCATTATATTAAAATTATGATTTTTAAATTTTTTTAAAGATTTACTATTCAAAAAAATTTTTTTAAACAAACCCCTCGTTACATCCTTCTCCACCAATTTATCACTTCTTATAATTCCTTCCTTTTCCCCTCTTCTATCACCAATACTCTTTTTCTTTTCATTTTCTTCCTCTTCCCTCAAATCTTCCAATTCTTCATCAATAACCTTTGCAAGAGAAGATTTTCTTCTTCCACACTCCGAAGAAGCTTGAGAATTTTGTGATGTTGTTACTTTACTTGTTCTCCGAAAAAATAATGATTTTATATAAGAAAATGTAGATGTTGTTGTTGATGTTGAAGCTATAGAATCATTACGTTCTAATGGTGGTTTAATTAATGTTGGTATTTGTTGTTTACTTGAAGTTGGGGAAGACGATTTTTTCTCACTATAAAAAATTTTTTAAAGATTTTTTCGAATTTTTTTAAATAATGATAAACGAAGTATGTAACTTTACCTAGTAAAATAATTATTTGATGAAGTAGATGTTGATGCTACTGAGGACGTCTCCAAATGACTAAAATTATTTGCACTACCACTATTAGAATCTACTGGAGACATATTTGTAGGAGTATGTGTTGTAGAAGAACCAGCTGTTGCTGTAGTTGAAGCTTTATCAGAAAATGTAACATCTTCAATACGTAAATTCCCAAGCAGAATTTCTCTAAAAACTGTAGAAGTTCGACGTCCATGAGACATTGGTGGCGGACTTGCTGGAGGACTACTATGAATGTTGTTAATGTCTCTAAGATCAATCTTTCCTAAATTATAACGTCGATGTCTAGCACTTTGAATACTTGTACGTCTTTGAGCTGTAACAGCATGTTTTCTAACTTGAATAGAAGCAGCAGAATTGGACGAAGAAGCACGTATGCGTTGTTCTACGCCCATCATTTCTTCGTCTTCCGCCTAAAAAAGTCGAGGAATTTCATATAGAAATCTCTTAAACCTTAATCATTGCAATATTCTTGCAACATAAACTTCCACCACTTTCAGCTGACCCTTTGGATGAATTATGAGCAGAAATTAAAGAAAGTCGTCGTTGTTTTTCCAAACTAAGAGGTTTAGACGTTGAAAAACGAGCAGAACGAATAGGTAAAGGTGTTGGGGTTGCTGCTGATGCAGCTATAGATGATGGCATAATACAAGGCTCTTCTTCCTCTTCCTTATCCTTTTCATCTAAACTATCATCAATCTGCTGATTTTCTGTTCCAGAAATAATCAAATCTCTTTCCATTGCATTAATTTCATCAATACTTTGAGCCCATATAAGCATTGCACGCTTTTTAAAAAATTCGTATTCATCGCCCAAAAGGGTCGAATAATATTTTTCATCCTTTTGGATATCTTCTTTTTCATCAAATTTATTGTTATTCATGATATTGTTTATTAAAGGTTGTTTATTGTAATAATATTCATTAATATTTTTAATATTCATGTGATTATTATAAGATAGTTTATCTATACAATATTCCCCCATAATGTTATCAGTATTATTTTTTGTGTTAATATCGTTATTAGCATTTAAGCCTAAAATATAAGCGTGTTTTAGTTTTTAAAAAATGTTCCAGAAAAGAAAGAAAATTCTGAAAAAAATTATAAAAAGCCCATCCCTGAGGTTGTTTCCTCGAAAAAGGAAAAGGAAGGAAAAAGGAAAATTAAATATATAAAGCAAAGAGTGCATTAATAGAGCATAAGGTTGGCAGATCCAAATCCAAAAAAGACCATATATCCGGAAATTTATGGCTTGGAAATCGGATATGGATATCCGATTTTCCACAGAATCCACCAACCTTACATTAGTGTAAAGCAAAAGCAGTGAAAGTGTAAAAACAAACAAAAAACAAAAAAGTGCAATAAACAGGTAAATTTAAATTCAAAAAACCCACTAAATTGTTGTTGAACACTATCAATAGAAGAAGGTCGTAAAGTTGCAGTTCTTCGAACACTTGATGCTGCTTTGGATGATCCATTTGCTCCATTTACTGTTGAAGCATTTGTTGTTATTGTTCGTCCAGTTGGTGTTACAAAAGAAATATCAACATGGTCATCTTTCCAGTTTAAACAATAGTCAATACCATCAAATACAAAATTTTCAGCAGAAGAAGCTTCTCGTTTTTCATTTTTATTTGTTGATGTATTTGTTGAAAATGTGCCTCCATCTAAGAGAAAAATATTTACTTAATAATTACATAAATGCTCTAGTATAAGCCAGTCCTTTAGCCCACCCGAAGAGATTCATCTAATAACAAATTCCACCCATGAGACCTATGTAGAAGGAGACCATCCATCAAAACCCCCACCCAAGGAGCCAAATTGTAAAGTATACAAGCCTAGTTTCTAAGGAAAGCCCAAGTCTTATTTAGAGCATTTAAGGTATATTTAAAAGTAAATACTTTTTTGAATTTTTTCTCTCATTTCCAAAGCTTTTCCCAATTCACTTAATAATCGACAATATTCAGCACTTGTTTGCCTTAGATCAATCTAAAAATAAATTTTTTACAGTTCAAAAAATAATTTAAAAAAACTTGTACATTATTTTGTAAAATATCTTCAATACATTTTTGTCCTTCTTTTACATAAAAAATAGAAACAGTTTCAGTTAAATGAACAGGATGTTGATCTACTGTTGTATAAAGAGAATCGTAGAAAATATCACTGCGAAAAAAATTTTTTTTTAACGAAAGAATCCTCACAAAGGAAATTTTATACTGTGAGTCACTTGTCAGACCACACAATAAGTAACAATAAGTATAAAATATCCACATGGGGTTGAAAAAATTAAAACTTATTAGGAGTCAGATCCCTATTCCGAAAACAAATTTTAAGAAGGTATATGTTAATTGTAAGTATTTACTCAATTCGTGAGAGTATCTCATAGTGAAGTCCGTAAATATAAACAAAAAACAAAACAAACTATGATGAGCTATCCAAAGGTGTCAGTTCATTAAGATAAGATGTTCGATTGATCAATCCCAAATCATAAAGAAAAACTCGAAGAGAATTACAATGAGAAACAGGACTGAAAAAAATTTTTTTAATTTTTATTTCAAAAATTTTGCAAAAAAACCTTTCAGGTACAGGAGGTTTTGTAAGTAAAGGACCCAAAGAATTGTTAATCCAAACATTTCTAGTATTACGGTCACCAATTGGAGCTCCATTACCAGCAGCTAAACGAGCTTGAACTTGTTCAAGTTGTGATTGTATTGCCAAAACTTGTGGTGGAACAGGCTCCAATTTTGGGAATTTTTTGTCGCTATAAAAAAGAAAATTTTTGATAGAAAAATTTAAAAAAAAGTAAAATTCTCAACTATTCACATTCTGGCTCAAACGCTTCTTTTGGTATTTTAAATTGTTTTGTTGCTGTTGTTGTTGTAATATTTGGAGGAGGAGCTGAAGAAGAAACTCCACTACTTGTAGTCGAAGCAACTGATGTATTTGTTGCAGTATTTCCACCACCACCTCCATTACAATCCGAAATATTTTTTGTTTGTATACTTAAAAGGTCACTAGAAGGTTGTTGTTGTTCACTATCACGAATTTTACAGGTTTCGGAATTTGTTTGTGTTTGTTGTTTAATTAATTGTTGATGTTGTTGATGACTGACAACTACTATAAATATTCTAATTTAACTTCCTTCAAAGGAAAATGAAGACTTAACGAAAGTCTCGTATTTCAACGAGAGACCCAGGTTCTAAATTAGGTTCAAGCCTCATTGTCAGAATAACGTGTTAAAACTAAACCAGATAACCCCAGAAGAAATATGGCTACAATAATTAACAAAAATATACGACTCAACTAGGGTTCCTGGAAATCTCCGGGCATCCAGAACCGGAAATGATAACTGAACTGAAAATTTCGGGATGACTTTTTTGGTTCCGAATACGCGGAAGAACTCGCTATACTCAACCTACCAAATCCAACAAAAAAAGCAACAAACCAGTATTATTCTGCTTGCATGTCTTCTTTCGGTTAGGAGGCGCTTTCGGCATAAGTCTAAACAAACTTGCCCATGGAGAATTAAATGGTGTACGAAATATAGCAATTACACAAGGAAGACCTAAAAATATTATAAAAAATATTGAAGCCTAAATAATAAAAGAAAACCTTTTGATAAAGTTGGAATATTTTGTGCTTCATAAAGTGAAATTAAAACATTTTGTTGACGTAATAAAAAATGTTCAAATTTGTCAAGTTTTAATCCAAATTTTTTAATTAACACCAATTCGTTTATTGAAGAAGAAAATTTTTTTATTACAAAATTTGTAGTTGATGTTTTAGTTGTTGGAATTTTTGTAGAAAATAAGGAATGTAATAAAGATTGCGCTGCATCATGAACACGTTGACTTGCTGGTTTGTATTGTTCTGGAGTCTTGAAAAAATATGAAAAAGTTAAATCTTAATACCCTCACTAAAAGAAATTCTCCCTTCCCTTTGATTCTTCCTTTCCCCATTATAATCTTTGCTAAAGGCAAGGATTAACCGGTCGCAAATAAAGAGGAAAGGAAGAGTGGACGCAATCCAAATTGTCAACACTGAAATGCTGTTTTCCTTCCTGTTGACATTTTGGACACCAAAAAAGGAAGAAAAGTTAATCCAAAATGTCAACACTGAAATGCTGTTTTCCTTCCTGTTGACATTTTGGACACCACAAGAATGGGCAAAAGATTTAATGCAAAATGCAAACACAACAATTCTTCTCCCTTCCCCCAGTTGATCTTTCGATCCTTCTAAAAAATTTTCTACTGATAGACCTTAATCCTATATGAAGCCCGATTTAATTTACAAAAAAAAGTATAAATAAAATACCAATTTATGCCCTCCCGTCATTCCCAATTCAATAGCCAATGCAACAGTATCCAAACATGATTCAATACGTGCAAGTTTAGGAGCTGAACAAAACCACACACTCATACAAAAATAAGCTGCAACAACCGTTGAATGCATATCCTTTGAATGAAGAGGTGGAGGTTTTTTTAATTGTTGTTCAATAAAACGGCAAAGAGATGTTACAATTAAAGAGCCGGTTGAAAGTTCGCCTTTTTATGAAAAAATTAAATAAGAAATAATTTTTAGAAAAAAACCTTTAGAAAACAAAACAGATTGTGGAAGAGAACAAAAAGAATTTAGACAATCAAATGCTGCTAAACAACAAAGTGTTTCATTTGCCCATAATGGTTTACATAAATTATCACAAATTGCACTTATAAATGATCGAACAAGAGAAGTAGAAAATGGAGCTGAAAAAATTTAAAAAAATGTTAAATAAAATTACAGATAGACTTCTCGATATCCCCTATAATAAGTTTTTAAAATTATGATTTTGGTCGCTGTTTGGGAGGTCTGCCCAACAGGGATGAGTCGGGTAGATAAAAAAGGTCGGGTTGGATTTCGGTCGAGTTTTAAAAATTTTTTTCGACTCCGGAGTCGGATTTCGAGTAGAAACCCCATAAATGTTAAGAAAAACAACCCAAGTAAAAATAAGCAAACCTTCAACAGTTTCTTTACAAATTTCAACTTTTTCATCATTTCTTTCTTTGTTGTTTTCATTCTTCCAAACTTTCAACATTGCTGCTCTCTTCAATTCAGGTTCAGCTACCTCAACACAAAAAATAGCCGCAAGTCCAAGTGCATATTGAATATTAAAAGGATCTGTTTCTTGTCGAAGAGAGCAATAAAGTACACGTTGAATAGGTTCGCGAATATCAATATAACGAGAAAATGATTCCAATAAATTTGATGAGGAAGATGAAGAAAATGAACCTTCTTGACGTTTATTAATTTTTTGTGTAGTTGAATTAAGGGGAGATGAAGTTGTTTGATTGTTGTTACCTTTAAAAAAGAGGTGAACAAAAATAGAGTAAAGAAGAGAGAGGTAAAAGTTCTGCGTCCTCGTGGCAGTTATTGCAAAGAGCTTTGACCGAGTAAAAGTGATCTCGTAGACCCAGGAATCTTTTGAAATTAATTAACTACAGGGCGCAAAGGTGCTATAACTTGTTGACATGAGCCATAGGGCGCTGCTTGCGCTGCATCTTCTCACCTTAATAAATCTCTTAAACCCCTGCATAGATAGCAATTTAAATGGCTGGGAGCTGAGTATCTTCTTCCAAAACAAAAAATCAATAAAAATAATACCAAGAATATTAGCATAACCAAATAATGAAGGCCAAGGTAATATTGAAGCAAGGGCTCTTAAACAAGCTGCACGCATTTCTATTTGACTTATAGAAGGATGAAGTCTTAAAAAAATTAAACAAAAAAATTTTAAATTAAAAATAAAAAGATTTACAAAATTTGAAGTGATTCATTATGTACAAGCTCTATTGCACGCAAATAATTTGGTAATAAAATTTGAACACCCTTCAATGCCAATTTAAAAAGATTGTCAGCACTGGAGAAGATGAAGGAACTGAGAAGAATTCTGTCATTCTGTTTGAAATAAAAAAATTATTGTAAAAGAGATTAGCAAAAAGTATGGACGTAGGAAACAAATCGACTCATGCACGTAGGAATCAAGTCGACCCTACGATCTCATGGACACAACAATCGAGCCTGCAACCCCATGGACGCAGGAATGAACCTGCGGCCCCGTAGAAGCAGGAATTGAGTTTGCGAAACAACCGGGCTGATAACACCCCCTCTATAAATCTTAATCCCCAATCGTGTCTTTAATTCCTACCCCCCCCCTAAATCTTCCCTTATCCTTCCTCAAATAAATTTTGTACCGAAATTAAAGCTTCATGTGCCAATGCAAAAAACCTAGCTAATTGATCATCCCTCAATTGTTCATTTGTATGTTTTGCACAAACAATTCTACAAAGTGCACAAAGGGCTGCTGACCTTCCAGAAGATATTCCATCAATACTTGGAAATTCTGTTGGGGAAGAATAATTTGTTGTTGTTGTCGCTATAGGCTGTTGTTGATGATAAGAATCCCCTCCACCACTACTGCTTAACATACTGCTACTTTGAGTGTTGGAAGAACGAGATATTGAAGTTGCTTAAAATTTAAGGAATAGGGTTTAAAAAATCAGAATTAGCATTTTTGGTACGTGACATTTTGAATTTTTGACATTTCGGAGATTCGACATTTTAGAAAATTACCAAAATGACATTTAAAATAATTTCCACGTTTTTTAATTTAAAAAAAATTTTTTTTCTTAAAAAATTTTTACCAAAAGAACGCCTAAGTGTTGTTGTCGTTGTTATTGTTGTATTATTATTATTAATTCCACTACTATTAGAGATTATTTGCTGTTGCTGCTGTTGTTGGTGTTGAAAATATGCTGGTATTGGTGCTGATTGTCGTTTAGAAAAATTATTATTGGTAGTTGAAACGTTATTACTCTTATTGCTACCAGTGCTGCTAGTGGTAGTAGTAGTACAGCTATCACCCACTGAAGACAGAGATTTATTTGAAGCTGGAGGATGAAGAAGAGGTTGAGAAGGAGGAGGAGGGACGACGACAAGTGCTTGGCCACAATCTGAACAAACAAATAAATTTTAAAAAATATTAAATATATAAATGACTGAAGATAAAGGATAATATTATTTATTATCTCATACACAAATTTATATAAAATCGAGTGCAAAAAATAAAAGAAAAAAGTGTCAAGTGATTGATTATAAAATGACAAATTATAATTGGGAAAAATAGGCAAAAAATGTTTATAGCATTAGATCAAGAGATTAGTGTAGGGACTAAAGTAAGAAGAAAAAACTCTTGAAAGCTTTGAGAAGGTATGAGGCTCATTGCAAGCAAGAGACTTGATTTAAGCAAGAAAATTGAGCTGTAAACAGTGTTTGGTATTCCGGATAACTCCGGAGGTGGAATGGGAGCCAAGTTTTGAAAACCCTAGAGCAAAGCCAAGATTTAAAAAAGGTTGGATCCAAAATTAAATTTAAAATGAAGTAAGGAAAAAAATGTTGTTGTTCCAAAATAATAAAAATGTATACGAATATGTATGTATTCAAAAAAATTATTTTTAAAATTTTAATAGAAAATTTTAATGACTTGAAAAAAAATCCACGTTTAATATTTTTACTTGACAGCGCCCCGCCGCCATTTTATTTTAAATTTTATTTCCACCCTAAAATAAAATCTCACACTATCTCCCCTCAACAAAATCTTTTCCCCTCGCCTCAATTTTTATTGTAAAACTATCCAAAAAAGAGAGTAATAACCTGTACAAATATGAAAGGAAAAAGGGAGAAAATGAGGGAAAATGAGTGAATGGAGGTGAATGATATCTCTCAACAAGCATTCGCGCATTTTGAAAAATAAATAAAAAAATAGAATGGAAAATAAAATTGGGATATGTGTACTTATAGAGGTACTTTTGGAACACAAAAAAATTTTTTTAGGAATATTTCCAAAAATAAAAATCCCAAAAATATTAAAAAATAGTTCATTCTATATTAGCTGTGTGGCAAAATAATTTTTTTTCAATTAAAAAAAGACCCGAAATTTTTTTAAAAAGAGGAAACCACAACCACAAAAAAACGTAAAAACCTTTTTCTCCTTTCCCCTTCAATTTCTCCTTTTTCCTTCCATTTTTCGTGTTCAATAAAAAAATTTTTGTGAGCACGCGCGAATGATTTTAGTATAAATATAAAAAAGAGGAGGAATTAAAGAGGAAGTATAGACAGAAACAACACATACAAAAGCAACAACAACAACACGTTTACGGAGCATAAATCAGAAGGGAAAAAAATAAAATTTTTACGAGAAGGATCAGGCGTGTAATAAAGGAGGAAAAAGAGGAAAAAATGAGGAGACAAAATAAATAAATAAATAAATAATAAAGAACAAAACAAACAAAAACGAAAAAAATTGCGCAACTAATAATACCCTAATAATATTGTTAAGAATTTTTAAAAATAAAAATAGTCGTAAAATAACCTAGCAAATAAAAAATGATCAAAAAATACTAATAAAAGGCTCATCAAAAATTTAAAAATAGAAAAGAGAAAAAACTTTTCGGGGGAGTAAGGGATAATAAAAAATTACTGACAAAGCTTTTTTAAATTTTTTTTTGCTAAAATTTGGCTAGCCTCCCCATCCCCTCTCTTATCTGTCTAAATTTATGAATATTTTTAATATTAACTTAAAAATTAAAAGTGAACAAACACAAAATTATTTTTAAAAATATATAAATGTTTGTCAGCATTTAGGAAAAAATATTTGTTAAGAGAAAAAAGGAGAGAGGAGAAAAGAGAGATTTATTGCCTAACCAAGAAAAAAAATTTTTTGAATAAAAAAATATAAATTGTTAGAGATAAGAAACATTTTTAAAAAATTTCCCCAAATTAAAAAAAAAAAAAAACTAACCTCCCTTACCAGCCCCATCATTAATTGAAGTATTATTTATTTGAAAAATAACTGCATCAAAAAGCCAATCCAAAAATAAATTTAACAGAGTAGTTGATGAAGGTTTTAATAATAATTTTGTTCTTTTAAAATTAATTAAGAGTTGTTTTTCATCATAAATTAATTGATTATCTTTTAAAAAAAAATTTTTTTTAATTAAAAGAAATAGAAAAAAAATACTTTTAAGAATAAACCAAACATGTTGTGAAGCCAAAACTTGACCAGAAATTTGTATTGCTGTCATTTCTGTATTTGTATCTGTATTGTTATTTGAAGTTACAGTCATCATTTGATAATCAGAAGAAGTAAGTCTTTGTTCTTGCTAAATTAAAAAATTGGGAAGTTCTGACAAAAAATATTTTAAATCGAAAATTTGAAAGAACCATAATCAAAAAAAAATAGAAAAAACATATAAGAACTCGAAAAAACTTGCCCGGAAATTTAAGATTTTTCTGATTAATAAAAATCAAAAGAATTTTTTCGAAAATCCCCTTTTCCAAAAAAATCATTTTTAAAATCCAAAAGCAAACCTTTATATTACTCGCATTATTAACTAGAGCAGCTTCCAACCATAAAGAATGCAATTCTTCACTTTCATTAAAATCCAACAAAATATCATCTCCTTTAATTTTTTTAAATTTTTTCAGAAATTTTTTGTAAAATTTTACCAAAAAATAAATCAACCATCTTTTTCAATCCAAAAATAATCAAGAAAAATGAAAGTTTAATTTGTTCAACAAAAAAATTTATTGAAGTAGAAGAAAGTTGACAAGATTTTTCAGCCAACAAGGCAAGTGCTAATAAAAATTTAAAATAAATTTCTTAACTTTAAAAAACCTTGTTCAATAAATTTTGTTGGACGTCCAAGAAGTATAAATAAATTTAACCAAACATTTTTCAATGTTGAAATTCTTTCAGGATTTGAAATTAATGTTGAAGAAAACTGTCCAAATATATTGTCATCATCTTCAAAAAATAGAGGTATTAATCTTGTTATAATTAAAATATTTAAAAGTATAACCTAAATTTAACTTGGATTTTGGATGAATATATTAATCAAGCCTAAATCTAGGCTTGGACTAATTTTTGGATATCGGGGTTGGGTCTTACAAGAAAAAGAAGAAAAACCCCCTAGGAAGTCCAAACTGAGGTTGGACACAGAAAAAAACCAAGGCTCGGGCTCGATCCACCTCTACTTTAATAAATGCCTCGATAAAGCCCCCCCCCCCCTTCGTTAAAAAATTTTCTTAAACAAACCAAAAACAACATTTTCTTCTTGTACTTCCATTTGTTGTTGTTGTCCAAACAAATGTTTAAGCAAAAGAGAAGTTGAATGAAGTATTGAATTTGCCCAACATTCAATAAATTGGATCTAGAATAAAATTTATAAAATTCAGAAAAGTTATAAAAAACCTGAGCTCCACATTTATTAGAAAGACAAGAAAATGTTGTCCAATATGCTGGTGAAGGGATACAATCATTTAGAGAGGCTTTCAACCAGCAATCGAAGAGATTTTGACAAAGATCTTTAGCCATTAAATAGCCAATAGATTCTTAAAAAATTTAAAATATTTTATTTGATTTTATCCGAGGCCTAGGCTTGGACTACTTTTCAAAGTTGCTTCCTTGGATATTGGCCAGAAGTCTAAGAAAACCTCGAATGAGGTACAAGCTGATTTTTGAGCCTCTTGTCCGGGATATTTGTCCCGGAGCCTAGAATAATCCCAGGAAGGTTAAACTGGGTTTGGACAAAGAAAAAAGGAGGACAAAGAAAAAATTAATCATTTGTGACCAGATCCAGTTTAAACTTCAATAAATTTTCCTAGGCTCCAGGTTCAATATCCCGGGCAATGGGTTTGAAAAGTAGTCCAAAATGCTTAAAGAGTATAGAAAACATGACTATGAAAGTTCAAACTAGCCTGGACACAGAAAACCCAAGCCAAGTCTTGACGACTCAAAACTGATTTTAATCTCCCCCTCATCCTTTTAAAAAATTCAAAAGAAACCTTGAGATTTACAACATCCAATAGTAATTAGTTGATCATTTACATTCAATAAAAATAATAAACAACGAGCCCAAACTTCATCTTTATATTCATCTTTTGAATGATTTGTTAAATGTCGAATTGCTGTTAATATTGTTTGAATTTGCGTTCCTTGACGGCTCAAAATTAAATGATTATCTGATGTTGAGAAAAATGATTTTTCTTGAAAAATGTGCCGAAATGCTTCAAGAAATTTTCTAAAAATAAATTTTGATGTTAACTTTTATCAGGAATTTTCTTAAATCGGAGATCATTCCATTTTTTAACTAAATTTAAAATCCGACACCAAAAGAACTCGAACCAAAGACCCCATAGCACTAACTCTAGAACACTAACCAATCAACCACGGATTGTCAAAATAGAACTTTTTAATTTAAAGCCAATTTCATTTAAATACAAAAAAGCAGACAAAATAACCCCAAAAATATTCAAAAAAAACCTACTTAAAATATTTGTCTGGGTATAACAAAATTTGTTTGGGACAATATTGACGAGGAGAATCTGTTGTTAATGCTGAGCTCCAAGCAATATAAATACGAACAGCAGAACGCAGAGTTTCATAACATTGATTTGGAATAAATGGGAGAGTTAAACTGTGATTTGTGACCTGTAAAAAATAAGGAAAAATTAACTTGGATTGGACATCGTCCTAGAAATTCCAACTAGGTTCCCGACTCTTTTTTTGGCTAAAACCCACGACCCCGAAAATAGACGTGCTCGAAGCGTTCAAGACGAAAAACCCTGACCCTGAACTTTTGAACTCACTCAGAATAAAAATAATGAAAAGAAAAACTAGTCCTTTTTGGCTAAAACTCTCAAGGTCGGGGTCCAACCCTCGAAAAAAAAAACAAAAAAATT